TATACTATAAGCACTATAAGGCGCACCTTCAATGACCTATTTTAGAACATTTTTCAAACGTTTGACTGGGTTTGCGTTATGCATCCACTAGATGTGCTAAAGGGAATGCAGCGAGTGCGCGGCGTCGGAGGTGAGGCGTTTATTTAGTAAGCTTGAGCGCGCTGGGGCGGGCACGTAACTTACATTCGCAGCCTGCTGACAGCAGTGTCTGTTCGTGTGTGTGTTAGAGAGAGCGCTCGTGAGCGGGAGATATTTTATACGAGGTTGAACTGGCCGTGTGACAAAGCGGATGGATAAAGCTTGAGAAAAGGCCAGATTGAGAAAATTAAAGGCTTTTAAGTGCGCTTTATAGTGCGGAAAATACGAGTACTACTCTCGCTTTTAGACCAGCACGCGACGTGTTCAGTGGCGTAGCCAGGGGAGGGGCCATGGGGGCACTGGCCCCTCCTGAAAACTGATTGGCCCCCCAGTGTGCCCCCACCCTTCTAATTGTCTGTCACTCAAAAATTCAAATCATAATCTTTCAGCTTGTAGTAGAATAATTCATGATTCCGCGTCACGCGATGCTTCTCAAAACCACACGGTAAGTTGATATATTTTTAAGGAAAGACGATGTGTATTCACCCTGCTGAGGGGAATGTGCTAAAGCCGGGAGTGGAGCGAAAGCACGTTCCTCTCTCCACTCTAAGCATTCTGTAATCACTTCGCTCATGGTCCACTCCGGTTTTTCAATTCCCGCTCACGGAAAAACTGCTCCATGTTCACTCAATTAGTCTTAGATTTTGAGAAGTGCATGTCAGGCTACTGCTCGCTCGTTTGCTGCGGTCGTATGATAGAAAACAGAACGCGGGTCAATATTGGTCGTTTCTCAATACCAAGAACGCAAACTTCGGAGAACGAACTCCCGAGGACGAGAGGACGCGAGTCCGGTCATTCTGCTAATGGAATAGCGCGTTCTTGATCGCGTCACTCAGCACGCGGCTACTCCGGTTATCTCTTATATGGTATAAAACACAACTTTGCTTCTTTTCATCAACAATAAAACGAAATACATATAAAACAGCACTCTGCCTCATTTCATTTATAAATGGACATATTATCATGAACAGATTAATGGCCACAAAAATGTGGTTCAGGTAACCTTATCTCACATTGATATCTTCACTGCATATATTTATAACACGAAACCCTGCTTCTTTTTGTTTTCATTTTAAAAATGTGAAACATTATTGATCATTAAAACTGACATTTAACAAACAGACATGTATCGTTTTATTGTATTACACACAGTGAAGAGAATGTATAGTAAAAACATACACATATAAAGAATATTTTATATATTTTAGAATATATAAAATTACACAACCCTGTCTCTTTTGTTAAATGTCAGTTTTAATGATAATATCCCATTCAACAGTATAAGTAGGCTAATAGGTAGGCTATAATAAGCTGAGAAATAAAGTAAACAATTCAGTTAAACATAAGTCAGCTCTCTAATGGGTTACAAAGTTAAAGTTAAATAGCCTAAAAGTTAAATATATAAAGTTATGAAACTTCACTTTTCCCTCAGCCAGTTAGCATTGTTTGGTCTTATAAGATAAATTAAAACATGCACTGAAAAGTTATGTAGATGGTTGATTAGGCCTATTTGTCAAGATAAGTAATTGTTTTTCATAGATTAAAATAGCTTTTAAATTACGCAAACTGGCAAAATTAGATCGGTTTAAAACATCTCTCCTTTAAACGCTATTGGTCTCGACTATTTAAATAAAGTTACAGGAATATGACTTGGCCTGAAAAAAAAAAAATCAGTCAAAAGAATTTTTTTTATTTAATCCCTGCATCCAGAAACATTCTCAAATAAAAAAATATAAAAAAGATAATTAAATAAAAATGCATGATTAAATAGCAAAATAAATAATTAATACTACTGGATAATTAAGTCACTGTTTCTATGATCCACATATATTACATTAAACTAAATCATACCTTTTTGAAAAAGTAGCTATCTAACAAAGTATTATATGTGATATTTTACAATCAATATGCTCAAGACTAATTAGCCTTCCTCGAAATAAGCAATAAGCAGATTTCAGCAACTGCTGAAATGCAAATTGAATAGGATGTGGGGAAAAAAGATGTATACAATTTTATTACAGTTTTATGAATTCATTAATTGTGTATTTATTATATGAATGATTAATATAATTATGCATTCATATAAATAATGCTGTTCTATTATTATTTGTGAGTTGGACACTAATACATTGGATTATTTTATTTATTACACTTTTGTAAAGTGAAAAGTTAATATAAATTGTATTTTATTGTTTTGATTTAGAGCAGTAAATAACTGCTATTAAAAGATAACAGGGTATCACTGTTTATTGCTGATTTTAAAGCTTACTGAACTTGAAATGATTTGGATATATATAGTTCTACATAAATACACAACATAAGAATGGCCCCTCTGTAATAATTGTGGCCCCTCTTGTGCCCCCCAGTTGAAAAAATCCTAGAATCGCCCCTGGACGTGTTTAATATAGCCGCATATTAGCCCATACCAGATTTTCTCTCAAATGTTTGCTTTCACTTTCTATATATGGGGAGGCTGCACTTTAGACATAGCCAATTCTGTTTATGTAAACATTATGTGTATTTAACAGTATTGGCATAATAAGACTTGAAAGATAACTTAGTCCAGTATTCAGGCGCTGTTCGACAGGCTTCTAATGCCTGTGAGCGTCGGGGATATGCCGCGCGCTCAGGAAAGCGCACGTTAGAACAGCGCGTGAATTAAATGTTTAACCGGCAAGGCTTATGCAAACAATGAACTTTTGTGAATTGCAGTGTCCCGTACCTATTCCTTAACGTGTGATGTTTAGGCTACGTCGCGTTGTACAGTTGAGAGGCGCCAGAACTGATAGAATGCACTGTAACACGATACTACTACCATATTTCTTCAAAAGCAGATCGTGGAGACATTTACTATTCGTGTTGTCGCACACCCCTAGAATAAACCATTTAACGACTAGTCGACTAGTCGTCGACTGTTATGCAAAACTAGTCGACTAGCAAAAATCAGTAGTTGTGAAACCCCTACCGTGGACTACCAAACCCTTCTGGAGGATCATGAGCACCTGATGCTCAAACCGTGTATCAGCATGATCATGCACCAATACACACAGCAAGACTTGTGACAGAAGGGTTTGATGAAGATGAAAGTGACGTTGAACATCTCCCATGGTCTGCACAGTCACCAGATCTGAATATTATTGAGGTGTTTTGGAGGAGCGAGTCCACCAGCATCATATAGTGACCTGGACACTGTTCTGGAAGAGGAATGGCTCATAATCCCTCTGGTCACTGTGAAGGACTTCTATCTGTCAATTGGTGCTGTATTTGGATGCAAAATGAGACCCTCACCATTCTAACAAATTATTGTGTTGTAAAACCAGGTGTTTCAGTTTCATTGTCCAACCCCTGTAACTGAAGACCTGAATCTCTTATTCAATGTTATAGAGCTGAGAGCCATGGACAAAAAATATGCTATTCAATTGCAATTCAAAAATGTCAAACTGCGCAAGCGTTTCTGCCCTCCTCCAACCGGCTCTCCTCTTTTCCAACCAACCATCACCTTCGCCACCCAGTGTGTTTCGAAGTTCAGGTCCTGTTTTACTCGCACAGTCTGACCTCCTCACGAAAAAGTAGACATTGCCCATGAACAAAAAAAGATTTCAAGTTTCAACCCACTGAAAGCCATCAGGAACCACATTCAAAAAGGGCAAAATGACCTTCAAATTATGAACAGAAAATGAAAAAAATGAATAACGGAGGTGAAGGAAAGTGCACAAACTGTCTGAGATGAAAAATGTCTGACCAAGCCATTCTTTTGAATCTTTTAAATGAATAGATCTTTTGTGTGCATTACTGGAGTTATGATAAGAAGTCGCAAACAATGAATAAGGAAGATTTGATTTCTGTTGACTTGAAGGTAACAAGCCCTTCAGTGAAAGGTCCTACAAAATGTACGGTTTCTTCATCCCAAAGTCAATGGGTTTTTTAAATGGGTTTTTGATTAAATGTCTGAAATAAGGTCTGTGATAAACACAAGCTTAAGATATGCTTTATTCTACAACAAAAATACATCAGTAATACCCTACGAGATATACGATCTTATTGACATCATTGTTATTTTTGCATGGTCTGCTTTACAGTTTCAGATTGAAGTCATTGAACAAAATGCGTTATTATGACCCATTACGATATTACGCTTGGGATTTTAAGTTATGTGACTTGAAAAAGTCACTAGCTAAAAATGGGACTAGAGAGGTTGTCGGGGACAGGTAAACAACTGTACTTGCTAGTCCAGTTTCATAGCCTTTATACTCGCAGCAATGTATTATGGCCTAACTTTACATTTTTATGTCTAGCAAATACATTTAGGCTTCAAAATTCAAGTAGTGTTTATTTGTCTAGATTATTTTGATGAGCAAAATGTGTAAGAATCATAAACTTGTCAGTCACATTTTCCAAAAGCCAATGAAAAAAATCTTATTGGGTTTTTGTTGAGGGAACCAAGGTATGGCTAAAATTCACTTACATAATGATGAGTTTCATCTTCTGCAATATATATATATATATATATAAGGGTACGACAGTTGTCCGTTTCTGATAAGTTTGCAAAAGTGACACATCCCAGAATTCAATCTTGACTCATTTTGGTGGACAGTTTGGAAGCTACAGACTGTCACGTTGTCACACCAGTGTAAGTTGCAATCCTAATCAACAGGATGGGTCTCTATGATTCGTATGCAAGCTCAAGTAGCTCACGAATGACTTTGTGTGGTCGTCCATGGATGAAGAGGGATTACTCGGCGAAGGTGGGGGAGAAATTAAGAGCGCCGTGCTAATGATTATGATTACAGGAGGTCAAATTGGAGTGTTTTTCATGGCAAAATAGAGATTGAAAACCCCAGGATGACGTTCGCAGACAATTCCGACTGAGAAGCTGGAATGGATCGATACACCTCTAAACTGTCTCCTGCTGTTGATTATGGTGCGGGGACGTACTTGCTGGTGGTTGGTAAGCGTTGCTTTTTCATAATACTATTGAAATATACAAGGTTTTACGTTTTCAATATTAATGACAACTCTCTGAATTATAGGTATGTTTAATGCATGAAGAAAGTGGGTGAAAAAAAAGTTTCATAACCTTCTTCCAAGTTCTTTTTAAAATATTAATGATTGGTGGAAAAATATATTCTGAAGGATCTGAATAATATGCATTTAGTTTAAATGAGACTTGACACTTGAGTGAGAAATTGAATCATTTACACAAAATATGTCAATTATGTGATATTTGCAGTTGTTCGATCAACTATATACATGTTTTTATCTTAAATTTGACTGTGTAAATAAATTCTGTCAGATATGGTGATTTTTATATGCAAGGTATTGGTACACGTATCACGTTTCATTTGCTTAACCCCAGAGCAACAGTGTGATGCCACTGTTATCACTAGACTCCAGTAATTTCCTTGTTCACGATTTAGTCAGGAGGGCATTGGCATTACATTCACATTAATATTGAGGGTGCATGCCAGCAAATCACAACCTAGGCTACTGTTTGACTGTCAGGCTTGATGGTCAAAGTCAAAGTCTAGCTTATTTCTAGAGCACATTTAAAACAACAGAAGTTGACCAAATTTACTACATCCAAAGTCATACAATAGAACAACAACAGAAATAAAATGACAACAAGAAGACAACAACACACAGCTCTCAAACTGAAGTAAAAGCCAAAGAAAAAAAATATGTTTTAAGACTAGACATAAAAGTGGAGAGTATTGGGGCCAGCCTCACATACAATGGTAAATTATTTTCATAGTTTAGGGGCCGCAACTGAAAAGGCCCGATCTCCGCTATTTTTAAAGGGTTGCCGCCGTAGTTCACACAAAAATGATCATGCGTCACTGAAGACTAGGAGTAATGCTGCTAAAAATTCAGCTTTGAGAGACAGGAATAATTTACTTTTTAAAATATGTTAACATGTAAAACTTATTTTAAATAATAATAAGAAAATACTGTAATACTAATTTTACAATATTACCGTTTTTACTGTGTTTTTGATTAAGTAAATTCAATTGGTGAACATACAGTAAGAGACTTATTTAAGAAAAAACATTTAAAATACATATATTTAATTCACAGATTTCTTGTTAACTTTATTAATGAACTAGCTGGTCATCATAGCTGGTGCAACTTAGTGCTTGGATCAGCAACAGGTTTCCATATGATTATACAATCTTAAGGTGGTCAAGCTGGTTAAAGGAACATGGTAGCAGGTAAACCAATTAAGAGTAAAGAACGAGTGATGTGCCGTCTATATCGGATCTGACAGGAATTGTGCAACACACAGACTCTGGGTCGAACATGTATGGGCGAATCATTCCGGTTGCCATTTTACAACATTGGACGTTTTCAAAACAATTTCCCCCAAGTGCATCGACGGGTGAGTTGAAACTCATTATAATATGCAAAACCGTTATCCACTCACAGCAATGAGCGTTTACTTCCAAGTCTTCAGTGCGAGATGCCCATAAAAACCGAGCGCTTTTCAGCTAGGCTCAAAACTAGGGTAGAAAATAGCCTATTACTTGTTAATTTTGATGCTTTTTGAATGCAAAAACCAAGCGAACGTCATAAGTTGACCTCAGACAACAATATAATCAAATTTAAAAAGCCAGTTCATGACCCCTTTAAATGTAGCAGTGGTTGAAAACCTCTACGCAGGTTAATGAATCACTTGAATAATCAATTGAGATTAACTCAGACAGCACTACTGCATGCAAAATTGCAAATAGTCGCAACATGCTCTAAAAGATGCGCTTCTCCTCTTTAAATCTTCACTCGGCATACGTTCACGCTCACCGGCTCAATAACATAACAAAAGATATGAATAGGACCATTTTATGCATTTTATGACCTTTAAATGCTGACCCTTTCTTATGAGGAAAAAGTCCCCAGTAATCTTCAGAAGAGATCAACAATTTCAAGTCAACCAAAGTTTGAAATCATAGATGCCTACATACATTTGCCTACATTCCTACTGTGCACCACTATGAAAGCTAAAAAAAAAAAATAAAAAAAAATCACAAACTGTCATTTAAGTCTATCATTTAAGTATTAAAGGTGCCATCTGGAACTAAAAATCAAAAAATATTCCATATTCCATAACAGATGGGGGCAGTATACCTCCAGAAAATGTGTTGTGCCGCTGCGCCGCACGCACTCACGTCTTCAAACAACACAAACGAGCGCTGTTTTGCTCTCTTTCTCCGCATATTATTCAAATCATTTGACACGATAGTAAAAGGTCGGAAGACCGCAGTTTCACGTGGAGCATTTGGAGATTTTTAGAGATCAGAGAGTAAATGAACAACATCTCAACACTAAATGATGAAGACCGACTCATAGACGCCTGTCTCAAAAACAAGCTGTTGCATTTCGACGATATGGGAAAATAAAAGCCTGCAGGCTATTTTTTTAAGTTTACGGTATTCGTTTTGTTCATATTACACTTTTATTGTTAGTTTGAATTAATTTGACTGACAGCATTCGCTGCTGCCAGAGACACATGCAATTAACACTTAGCAAGCAGGTTAGTTAAGCTCTCAGATTCTGTCAATTTTATTATGTAATTCAAACAATAAATACCGTTTTGGCGCTTGTACATGTTACACCACAGATCCCTAGCGCACGTGAACCGATCATCTCTACTAGCTAATGGAAAAAGAACCCGAACACTGTTGAAAGATACAGTATGCTACAACTTACCAAAATGTATTCCTCATGCATAATGTCAACCAATCATTTTTTGAACTCTTCCCTGAACTGAAATGTAGTAATGGGCTGTATTTCCACACGACTGACATCAGGTTCAAGTACACACACAAGCCGGCGCGAGCGCGACTCACTCGTGTAGTGCAGTTTGGCTGGTGGTAACGTTGCCCGGCCGCATACCGCCTCCCATGGCTGGAACTGGTATTACGACACCTGCCGGGCCGGGGCTAGTAATTTAGCATGCTAATTTAGGTTTATATCTCGGCAGCACTATAACTTGCCAGTTTTTTAATTACATCATTGCACTTATTTCTTCTCATTCTTTTGATGCGTGTAGCTCATTTTTTGGATATTTTTACCTTAATTATTACATATGGCACCTTTAAGACGTTGTTGTTTTTTATGTTGTTGCTGTGACAATGATATCATACCACTGATTAATTATTTAAAATATTATTAATTATTTAAAATGTTGGTGAATTGGGCAACACAATTTGTATATGCACTGATTCAATGTCAATTTACTGTACTGCCCTACAAAGCAAAAAGGCAGTAACTGCGGTTTTGGTAAAGCATTAATTATTACAATTTTCATGACATTCAAGGCATCCTTTGTTATGTGACAAAACATCTCATCTTAAATGCGTGTCGTTTTAGAGAAAAATGGTAGTCGTTTGTACAGTAACTTCAAAAAGTCCTAGCAAAAGTCATTTTTCTCAGTTCTGCACTCTGCGTAGTTACTGCCTTTTTGCTTTGTAGGGCAGTGTAGCAACCTCGAGGGTTGTGTTATAATGATTTTTAACCATGTCTAGCACAAATAATTATAAAGACGGCTACTGAGCCATTACGGGCCTCTATAAACTCTGGATATCCGTTTTGATATTTACAGAGATGTATAAAGTACTAGAAACCCGGACTTGAGTAAAAGTACAAGTGCTCTATCAAAAAAGTGACTTGAGTAGAAGTTGAAGTGCTCTTTAAGCACCACACTTAGTACTAAAGTATTCAACAATTTTTGTACTTAAGTATTGCAAGTAGTTTATATTAAAATTCACTTAAGTACTAAAAGTAAAAGTACAAGTATTTTGTCATGTAATTATTAAAGAAAGTAGTCAAAAGTTTGAACTAGCAATCAAATAACGCGCTTTGGCGGGATACAAATTTGCTTTGGCGGCCGCCAAAAAATGTCATTGCAGGACAACCCCTGCATTAGTTGTCAATGTTTGAGTCAATCAATACCATTAGCCTATAAAACTGGCGTGTGATTTAGGCAGCATGAAAGCGAACTTGCAACGAATGATTGGTAAAATTTTTATAATTGTAACGAGTAACTAGCAGAACATTAAAAAAATATCGAAGTACACTGAAAAAAATAATATGCTTTATCTAATCAATAAAATTGTGGCAACATAAAACGAGCAATATATATTATTAATTAAATTGTACGAATTAGAATTAATTACAATGTTAATTTGATTAACTATTACTCAATTCTAATTTGTTCAATTTAATAAATAATATTGCTTGTAATCTGTTGCCACAATTTGATTGATTAGATAAAGCAAATTCATTTTTACAGTGTAAAAGTATTAAATTCATCGAAAATATCTACTGAAGTAAAAGTAGAAGTATGAGAAAAAAAACAATACTCTAGTAGAGTACAGATGCAGCATTTTAGTACTTAAGTGCAGTACTTAAGTAGTTCTACTTCATTACTATACATCTCTGGATATTTATCTGCAGTTTCACTGTCTCTGGATATGCATTGCACAAACATGAAAATCTTACATTTTTACTCTGAGAATCTATTCATGTTTAATAAAACTCTGAAAAGAAATACCAGAATAGAATGATGGCATTCTGCATTAGATCATAAGCTGAAGAAATGCTCTTTCTATCTCATTTGAAGGTCAGAGGAATAAGGTCATTGAACATGTTTCTCCTATTCCCTCAGGGAGGGTTAGACGTACAGTACACGTGCACACTAAATAACCTTCTGTCAACACAATAGGAGGATTACAGTATATGTGCTCTCTGAATGCCCCTGTTTGACAAATGCAACAACTTCAAATGTGTCTATCTGTATACTATAGGCAAGTGGCACTGCAGTGCATTTACATTAAATCTCTAGCAATCCACACATGGATGGTGGTGAGAATGACAGAACACAGCTGAGTCAGAAACTTATGATAGCTTTGCATCGCTGCTCTTAAAATGCAGTATTTGAGTAAAAATAACCAC